TAAAACGGCTTGCCACTGAATGGCAGAAAACAACTTGATTATGTTTATGGAGCTTAATACAAATACCCATATTAGTAGTCCTCAACTTATAACGGAAACATCACTAAACGACATGGTCATAAAGTGCAAGCACATTATTTAGCAACAGCAATCCCTGCTATCCCCGTTGTGGTTGATAACTGAATCCAACGGTTGTTCGGTGAGGCAATACCCCGCAGGAAGTTGCAAACTCTATGTCCGCAGGCAAGTAAATGCTGCTGCTGGGTGGAGCAAAGGGAGGGAACGGGAGGCTGTAGGGAAGGGTCCCAATAGTGCATCAGGGTTTGCAAGAAGCTTGGTAATGCAATGTGGGAATGATCTTGCGGGAAGAGGGGAAGATATGCTGCCTAAGGAAGGATCAGAAAAGGGGAAGAGGAAGTTCACTGACTTAACTGTCAGAAAAAGAAGGACCTAGGCTGCAAAAAGAGAAGGCAGGAGATCTGTACTTTCAGACTTGCAAGATTGTGTTAATATAGCCTAACAATAAAGTAGAACTAACTCACCTGGTCATGCTTCCTACTTGGCTTACCTGGAAGGGCTGACAGAAGCTATGCAGGTTGAGGAGAGTCAGGAAGGATGCACAAGGCTTAAGAGGGGATGTGTCAGTGGTGGGATTCAAATTTTTTTACTACTGGTTCTGTGGGCGTGGCTTGGTGGGTATGGCAAGGAAGGATACTGTAAAATCCCCATTCCCTCCTCACCTCACTAACCTGCTTTCCAGCTCCGTTCTCCTGTGCAAGGCAACAAAAGAAAATGCAGCCAATCAGCTGGGACTCGGGAGGCGGAGAATAGAGGGGGCGGGGCCAGTCAGAGGTACTATTTGCTGGTTCTCTGAACTACTCAAAATTTCCACTACCAGTTCTCCAGAACTGGTCAGAACCTGCTGAATACCACCTCTGGGATGTGCAAAAGGCATCATGCAGGATAAGGAGTGTCTCTGACAGATACTACATTGGTCAGGGAAAGTGCACAAGGTGCCAAAAAGATGCCGAAGGGGCATCACATTGGTTGAGAAGGGGTGCAACGGGTATGCAAGAAGTGCCACAAGATTTGGAGAGGATGCATGGGATGTGGAACAGGTCCAGTGCTCAGAAACAATCCAGAGGGTTTTGGCACAGGTCAAAAAGAGTGTGTAAGAAGTGCGCCGGTCAGGGTGCACTGGACTGTGCAAGAAGTACCATACTGTTTGAGAAGGATGTTGTGAGATATGGAACAGGTCTGGTGCTCAGAGGTGCACAAATGGCTGGTGTGCTGTAAGCGCAAAGGGGCTGGAGGAAGGTACGCTGGTAGGGAAGACTCCTCCTATTAACTTTCTGGGGAAGCTGGCAGGGAAGATTGCAAATGGCAATCCTATGGTTGCAGGAAATTTGACAACCAGTCCTAATTGCAAATAGGTTACCAAGAACCCAGATTGCAATCATATGACCACTGGGGAGGGGCGGGATGCCTGGAACTCTGAGGACCAGTTGTAGCTACCATTCATTCAGCACTTGGAATGGTAGGTGACTAAATGGTCATAAGTCAAGGGCTACCTGTATTTGGGATGCAAAGTTATATATTTAGGATGCAAAAATGCTGTACATATCCTTCACTATTTTAAAAATAATGATATGCTAAAAACACCTTTTACTTTTCACTTTTAGATACTGTAAATGTTCTTGTGCTATTCATCTTAAAATCAATAACAGGGAGAACTACTTTGATATTTATGTGCAAGCACCATGAACTGCTACTGTGAATTTTCAATTACACTTCTAGCCTTTTAAAAAGCTTTTTGACACCGAAGTGGGTCCTTGGAAGAAGAGCAAAATACCACAGAAATAGCTGTTAGCCAAATATCATATTCAAGTGCACGACCAGCTTCACACAAAGCTGCCATTTTTAATTAAGAAAAGGGCAAGGATGCTGCTTGTTTATGCATTTGAGAGTTGGGTTTTCCACAAATGCTATTTAAGGGTACCTTTTATTTGGAAAGAAGACGTGCAGAGGTTAATGACCAGATAAAATACCACATGGCTCTCACCAAGATATTCACAATTTAATATGCAGTAAATGCAACAATATTTGACTTTACATGAAATGTTATTTATACCAGTTCAATTTTGCTAGACCATAGGCAGTATACAGCAGTGGTTGCCAACGAGTGGTCTGGGGACCACTGGTGGTCCGTGAGAAAATTTTGGTGGTCTGCAGAGAAATGTCACCCCCAAAGCACACCCCAAAGCAATTAATCAAGGCTGCGTGGGAACACAAGGCTGCGCCGCCCACATGGCCCATGGGAACACAAGGCTTGCGTCACTTGCACTATGAACAATACAAGGTAGTGAGGGGAAGGAGGAAAGGGCAGAGGGGGGGAACTTGCCCGTGCCCCATGTGCCTGGCCTGGCCATGGGATGCTTCTTTCCGCTTCTTTCTTCTTCTGCTTTTGGCTGCATGCCCCTTTCTCTCTCCCAAACTCCGCCAGAAATGAGTCTTTGGCACCCTGCAAGGCATCCTGCTCCAAGAGGCTGCACCGGCATGACGAGTCTCACAAAGATTCATTTCGGGCAGCGTTTGGGAGAGAGAAAGAAAAACTTCTGCTGCTTTCCTTGCATGAAGCCAAAAGTCTCTGTCTCTCTCCCTCTTCCTTGCATGAAGCCAAAAGTCTCTGTCTCTCCCCCGATAACGAAGCTGGAGACGATATCCTGCGATCCCAAATAAAGAATGATCGATCGGTAGGAAAATGGGGTGAGGAATTTTCCTGCAGACTTTTTGGGAGGATTTTCCCAGGGTCTCTGATTCGCGGGATTTAAAATTATGAGTTTGGTGGTCCCTGAGGTCCAAAAGGTTGGCGATCCCCTGGTATACAGTACCAATAATAATGCAGTGGTCAGTAATAACAAAACAACAGGCCATGTACAAGTATAACAGAAATAAAAACATACACCGATGACTTGAGACTCATTCTCAAAAAACCCTTGAAGACCCAACATCTTTCTAGAAGGCTTAAGAGTTGCCTCGTATGATAAGCTACTGGGGACCCTGCTTTCCATCGCATCAGGGATGAGATGGGAGCCCTCCTACCCCCACCTCTCATGGCAGGTGGGTACTCTGACAAGAAGCTCCCTGGATCAAACGGGCAGGTTTGATTTAGGAAAACATGGCCAGGTTCCAAGCCATTAAAAATAGAGACCAACCCCTTGGCTTGTACTCAGAAACATGCTGATATCCAACACAGCTCTTCAGGGCTAAGGCTGATCAATAAATAATGCAAGCATGCTTGTTCACGTCTTCAAGGATAGGCTTATGAAGGTCAAATTACAGTATTGTAAATGAGAGGTGAGAAGGACTGTCCTCGATGCATCCTGATGCTATTAAAAAATCAGTTTGGTGTGTGTGTGTGTGTGTGTCTAAAATCGATCACTGATTAGTGATCCTGTCATGCCCCTGGTGGAGACTGACTCTGAGGGAGAGGAGGAACAGCCAACAGGGAGTGGAAGTGTGGTTGTGAGGTTGTGGAGGAGGCTGGGGAAGGACAGAGGCCGGGGAAGGACCCAGGCCCATCCCCTATCCATCCTAGGGCACGCAGGGAGGAGAGGATAAGGGAGAGACATGGTCTCCTCGAAAGGAGAGGACCTTGATCCTCTTCATGGGCTGCAGGTGTGACAACTGAATAAGAGTTTGGACCTGGATACTGGCAAACGCTGGAAACAAAGTGTGTAAATATCTCTACTTTATAGTCCTCTCTGAGTTTGGCATCCTTCTCAGTAACATCTTCCAGCCCTTATCTTGCCTGGTTTGTGTTGCTTTTTTCCTTCTTCGTGTAACTGTTTGTGTGGGAGGTTTTTTTTTTTGTCTTCCGTCAAAGATATTCGGAAGCAAAGTGAAGGAATAAAAGGGGCTTCACCTGTTTTCTGTGACTGTGTTTGTTTTGTATCCCACCCTGGGTCATTACAGATCCCTTTAAAAAAGGACAATAGAATACTTCCAGCTTCTCGTGACAGCAATTATTCAAACTAATTTGGCTCGATTTTTTTTGGCTGGATCATAATTATAGTCACTTCCATCAATATTTTCAAATCATTTGACACAATATATGCTTTCCAATAAAGCACAAGAGGTCTCATTAATGCATTAAAAAACCTCACAGTTAACCTTACTCTAAGTAGTAGTGAAAACATACGCTGAGGTCTTGTATGGCCACATGCAGGGCTAGCAATAATATGCCCTACATTCCTGCGAATGAAAACAAGGGAAACCCAAGGAATGCTTCCATTAAGATATATTCAACTGAAGTCTCCAAGATTTGATTAATCAATGTGTTTAATTTTTTTTTTAAACAGACTATGTGGCTTTCAAGGCAATATTCACAAAAGCAAAAAGAAACTGTGAAGAAATTATATAATCAGAGTAAATCTACGTATCACCCGCCAGGCACACTGCACCTGGAAACAGTAGACTACCATTGGGCAAATTAGATTATGGCATTCTCTTTCGTGAACAAAAACAAACCCTCTACACAAGGAAAATTAACACAGGACTAGCAGCGTAATGTAAACATCAGAGGGATTTTTTGAGTAATTTATTCACAAGGAGAACGCTAACCAGTATCTTCCAGGAGGAATGTTTGTGTGGAGAAGTCATTCACTCATTGAATTAAGACTTTCAGATTAACACAAACGCCATTTCTAACTTGTACAATATCTGGACTAAGGAATTTGTATTAAATCAAGAATATCTGCAGTTATTGAGTCAGGTTTATCACACAGCTACCCCAACAACAGTTTCCCTCAAAGGCATTCTTTAAAAATTGCGCAAAACACGTCCAATTTCCGGCTGTAAAGCATGTCCTAGCACATGTTCTTTAATAGAAAGGAAACAAGCATTGGCATACATACATAAGGCGTCTTTTAGTATGTTCTTCATGTTGTATGCTAGATGATGACTGCAACATTTGTAACGCACAAATAAATGTTTCCTACCTTAGGGGCTCTTGCATGTTTCCCACATCGAGCATCTTTCACAAAGCTGACATCTAACAGTTCGGATTCCTGCACCTGATAGAAAAAAAAAAAAGGGGGGGGGAAGCTCATGATTTAAACTGTACTATACAGATGGTACAATTACATCCATTTCATTGCGTTTCTTTACATTACATTACCGAAAGCCGCCTTGCAGTCAGGTTCTGAATATGCCCAAGTAATGTCTAAGCTCAAAGCAAAGCTACCTGTAATTACAAATAATTAGGACTATCTATCTACAAATAATTAGGACTATCTATCAGGCAGTTCAGAGATGAGAGAGTCTGTAATCCGGTTCATGTAGAAGTCACAAAGTGGAGGAAAACCTGCTCTAAAAGACCCCATCAAGCCCTCATCCTTACAGAAGTGCTGTTCTCGAGGGCCACGTTCTCCAGAACATGCTTCAGTCCTACTGAAAATGTCAACTGCCTGTATAACAAATGAATTTAAAAAGGGCTTTTAAACACAGCATTCTAATTTGATTTAAGAAATGCGAAACTAGTCTACGGTGGCAGACTAAACTTGCCGGGTATCTTATGCAGCTGTCTGGATTTCTAATTATCCCCATGACTCTCCAAAGATCACAACAGTTTAACGAGTTCTAGTATTCGTCAACTATTGAATATGGGCAAGGGTGGGATTCAAAAATTTTAACAATCGGTTCTGTGGGCGTGGCTTAGGTGGTGGACATGCCTTGGTGGTCATGTTACTGGCTGGGTGTGGCCAACTCAACATCACTCACATCGAGGCACGCATCTCTTCGCCTGGCCCTCTCATGACTATGGGGATGCTGCAATAGTTGTAAGTGTGAAAAACGGTCATAAGTCACTTTTTTCAGTGCCATTGTAACTTTGAATGGTCACTCCACACAAGCAAAGTACCAGCAAAGGAGGGGGAAAAAACTCCAGAGACGTTCCTGAGACAGGAAGTCTAGTCCTGCCAAGAATGTAATAAGGGTTAACGGAGAGGCAGTTTCTGTAAGCAACACCAGAATGTTTCCTTCCTGCCTTCCTTACAGGATTAGGCCAGTAGTTTCTTCTAACAACCGGTTCTCCAAACTGCTTAGAATGTTAACAACCGGTTCTAGAGAATAGGTGCGAACTGGTAGAATCCCACCCCTGAATATGGGCAATGCCAATCACACTGAGAATCTTTTTCAATGCTAATAATAAGTTCTTAGTAAGGCTTATTTGCTCTACAGTATATCCAAACAGGTATCTGAGAGAAATAAACTAGTTGGTGGCAAATCCCATCCAGCTTGCTTGTTTGTTTCTCATGAAGCATTCCTCAGATTAGTACATATATTTATTTATATTATTGACATATTCATTTCATAAGTTATCATCCAGTCAATACAACCAAAGTCAGGCAGACCCAAACCAACAATTATTTATTTATTTAATTTATGTAGTAAAAGTGTGTTCAATTACCAACATTGTCTTAAAACTGTATCAAGCATTGTTCAAAGCAGACTTAGATTTGGAAATGCTTACAAGGCGAGTTATTATTATTATTATTATTTTATTTGTCTGCTTAACAAATAAGACTTTCTGTGAATCAAGCATACACTCAGAAGGGCTTTTACCATAGATCTTTACTCATGCATATTTGTAATGAAACAGATGCTTTATCAGATAACTGGCCTAAACTACTTTACTAAAGTATTTAACAGATTTAAAGGTAAATGCTTTGAATTTAAGCCTGGAAAACAGTTGACAACCAAATGATTATGGAGAGTCATCCAGGTCATAGTTGTCCCAAAGTTGCTGTACAAAAGGCAACTGGACTTTATTGGGTTTTTTTCCTTGAAAATGTTTCGCTTCTCATCCAAGAAGCTTCTTCAGTTCATTTACTATTCTAATATGTTCTGCTTCTGACTTCCTAACCCTCTTAAAAACATGGTCTTTCTTGTAATTGTTGCTGCAATGGAAGAATCATTCTCTTGTATTGGCCAGTTGAAAAGGTAGAGTGTTTTATTTGCTTTGTTCTTGTTTCGTTTTGTGGAGTCTTTGGTGCACTTTGAGTTTGTGTGATGACCCAGGGTGGAATACAAAATAAATACAGTCACAAAAAACAGGTGAAGCCCCTTTTATTCCTTCACTTTGCTTCCAAGCTCCAAATATCCTTGACTGGAGGAAAAAAAAAACTCCCACACAAGCAGTTACAAGAAGGAGGAAATGCCATTTAAATTATAAAGAGTAAAAAACAGTACAAACCAGGCAAGAGGGGGGCTTGAAGATGTCCACAGATACCAGAGCACACACTGGGAAGGACGCCAAACTCAGAGAAGAACAGTAAACTAGAGATATTTCCACACTTTGTTTCCAGCACTCGCCCGTACGCATGTCCGTCCTCTTATCCAGTTGTCACAGCTGCAACCCATGAAGAGGATCAAGGCCCTCTCCTCCCAAGTAGACCACATCTCTCCCTTATCCTCTCCTCCCTGCGTGCCCTAGGATGGAGAGGGGATGGGCCTGAGTCCTCCTCTGAGTGCCTAGCTGGCCCCTTTCCTTCCCTAGCCTCCTCCACAACCTGGGGAGCCACACTTCCACTCCCTGTCGGCTGTTCCTCCTCTCCCTCAGAGTCAGTCTCCACCAGGGACATGATAGTTTGGTTGTTTGCTTGCAGATATTTTGTTAGCCAACTAGGTAAATTAATTAGTGCAAGAGAATGCGGGGTTTGCTCCCTGTTTATTATAGGCATTCATGTAGAAATAATCATTGTTCCTTGGTGGAGATTTGCCTACATGCACATTTCTCCCATTTGCATGCTCTCTCAAACATCTGGCACTCATGTGTGATTCCAAAAGAAGAATGTCCATGGAGATTCTTAGTTATCCAAGTCATGGTTGCCCCAAAGATTGACTTTGCTTTCCCTTGAAGACATTTTACTTCCCATCCAAGAAGCTTCTTCAGTTCTGACTGAATGGTGGAAGATGGAAGGATTTATTTTTCATGCGGTGATCTGGTTGTTAGCAGAAAGAGCTATTGAGGCCACTTGGAGGTTTATCTGTGATCTCAGGGTCACTTAAATAGTGTAAATGGCTGTGGAACATTCTTGGAACTGCTGAAAGGACTGTGTTGTAAGGCATCAATGACTCTCAAAAAGAGTGCTAATGACCAGATGACCGCAAGGAATATAAACCCTTCCATCCTCCACTATTCAGTCAGAACTGAAAAAGCTTCTTGGATGAGAAGTGAAATGTCTTCAAGGAAAAACAAAGTCCAATTGCCTTTTGAAAATGCAGTTTTGGGATATACAAAAGAAGAGAACTTATGTAGGGTTCAATCAAACTCACACTCACCAGCGCTTATGACGTTACCTGGTTGAACAATGAAATGTGTGCTATGTATGTGTCTTTGACTTAAGTTTAACAAAACTGAGATTAAAATGAATAATCGGAGAATTACTATCAGAGTATTTATTTAAGAGTATATATTTAAGAGTATTCATGTGAAGTTGGGCAAAATATTCTGGCACTCATCAAGTGGAATTGAAACCAGAACTTCATAGATCTAGATTTGGTTGAATTATGTATCTTTTGATGTTGGTGGTAAATAATTTTTTGGTGTTTTCATTTTCCTGTCATTGTTCTTCTCAGATGCCATGACTTCTTGGATTCTGATGGGCATCTTCCAGGAAGAGCAAGTGAGAGTTGCTGGTTGATATATCAGCATAAATCATATTAGACACAGCTCCCTGGGGTTCTTTTATCACTCTTGCAGGCAGCAGGAGTCAAACAGAGAGGATTCAGCAGAATGTACCTGCCCACGGCTCTTTCTTGGATAAGCCAAATTCTTCGCTAATTTGGTTTCTCGCTGCCATTACCTTGGATCAGGTAAAAAAAGGGTCAATTCCTGACAAACAGCATCTGTCTTCCTTGAACATAAAAAAGCAGCACTCAATGACCTGTGTTTGTCCTTTTTCTTCCTGTTTGGCAGATTGTTTTGGTTTTAAAACAACAAAGCTATTGATATAGCATATGCTGTTGCATTCTAAAAATCAACAGAAGCGTTAAAGCCTAATGCTGTTAGGCTCAATGGTTCCTCTTGTGAAATGAAATGGGGAGCAAAAAACGAAAACAAAAAAGAAATCCAAGTGCATTTTGAATGACTTTTGGATGATAAACCAAATTCTGAGGGACTTTAGTAATAGCAACATTTACAAAATATTCTACACACAGGCAGAGAGAGAGAGAGAGAGAGAGAGAGAGAGAGAGAGAGAGAGAGAGAGAGAGAGAGAGAGAGAGAGAGAGAGAGAGTCTATCTATCTAATTATTTATCATGGTAAATAATTAAATTGTATTAAAATACAATTAACCCCACAAGCCAATGTTTCTAGATTGAAGGAACCTCAATTCAACAACAATTTGTTTTGATAATACTCTTCCTAGGAAATCCTACAGATATGTTGGCAAATCTCTGTAAGCATAATTATTTTTAGGAAATGGTTAAGCCACTGGAGGTTTGTAAAACATCAAGGAGATACAGAGCCTGGAGGAGTTTAAGGAACTTCTTCTAAGAGCAAACTTGCTGTGCAACCGATGTGTGATCTCAGCTCCTAATCTCAAAAGTCTTACAATTTTGTTGTGTTGCTGTCATTCTTCATTCATTCTGTTCTTGGCAGAAGCCAGAGGCTACTGATATCAAATGGAATGGTTTTCACTCTGTCAAGTTAGCTCAGACATATAAAAAAGAAAAGGGCCTTGCTGATTTTAGATGCAGCTCCCTCATGGCTGGTTTTAGAGTGGGAGGGATTAATTAACAGTGGGGTTTTAGACAGAAGTCTAAGGGGAAGTGATCAGTCTATGGATAATGATACCCATCAGACCTATCTTTAAAAAAAGGATGTGTTTCATAGATTATTCACAGGTGGTAGAAATGACTCAAAACCATCACACCAATCTGATCGTTCAGAGGCAATGTGGAATCAAACAGTGCTTCCAAAACTAAATCAGCTTCTTCAAGGCAAAAAGTATCCCAGCTAAGAGGGAGGGTTATTAATGGTTCCTTCAGCTGGGTGAGATGCCCTCTGCC